GGCGCTGGCGGCAAAGGGGGCGGGGCAACCGGCTTGTGCGCCTCAACCCGCGGGGCGGCTGCTGTTTGCACCACCGTGGCCTCTGGGGGGCCCCGTGCCAAGGGCGGCGCGGAGGACGGGTGCAGCTCTCCCAGCACCCGGAAGCAGCCGGGATGGCAGGTCCTGCGTGGCTGAGCCAGACCTCTTGGAAGGAAGGGGAGGGAAGGGAAGCTGGCTATGGGATCTGTGGTCGACTGCTCTGGCCCCAGGCCTCCACCCCGGGGCCAACTCTCCTGCCTGTCCTGTGAGGTTTCAGGGCCCTGCTGGCATCTCTCCTGCCCCGGCCGCCTTCCCAAGGCAGCCAAGGGCTCCAGAACCAAGGAGAGAAGCTTCTGCCCATGAGAAACCGAATTCCCGGCAAGGCCACAGATTCCGGGAACGGCCCCCGACCAGGAGCCGGCCTCTGGACCAGGTCCGTCTGGCTGGAAATCCGGCCGCCATTCCAGGAACTACTGCTTGGCGTACGATTAGCAGCCGCTTCTGAGCCCCAGGTGCCTTTCACCCTTAGGGTCCCCATCCTCTCCCTCTGGGGGACCCGTCCTCCCCCAGGAGCGTTCCCTTCCATCTTCCTTCTGCTGATTGACACGCAGACCAGCCCAGAACCTGCTTTCCGGTCTCGCTTGTTGACGGAGTCCAAACGCTTGCTTTGTTCAGCCAGTTGCAGGGGAGCAGCGAAGCCGGTCTTTCTCTTCTGAAACAGAAGCATGCACGGCTCTGATTTTGACTGGCGCGTGCCCGAAAGCAAGGCTCTTCTCGGCCATGGGTGGGTTCCCTGCTCGCCCGAAGAGCAAAGCGAGGACGTGTCAGCAGGGGGTGCTGCTCCCTTTTGCTCCGAGCAACGCAGCCGCTGTGGCCACGGGTGGTTCTCCTGGGAAAGCAGAGCCGGACTGAGACCTCCCTGTTCTGCCCTGACGGCCTGGCTCAAAGGTCAACGCGCCTCCCACGCTGCCGCGCTCGCCACGATCCGTTTCACCCCTTGGCACAGCTCCTCCTGCATTTCTAAGAAACCGGCCAGCCCTGGGACCTGGGCATGAAGACACCCCTGTTTCTGCTGACCCCTGGCTGTGGCGCGCATTCTTGGAAGTGGGTGCCCAACAGGGCGCCTGGGAGCGGTCCTCAGTTCAGAAGAACGACGTTTCTGTGGCGTTATCTTCCGGCACCCAGTTTATCAGACAAAGAGGCCCTGGGCACAGCGTAGATTCTTGCCAGCTTTCGAGACTGGTGAAAAGCCGAGGCTCCAGAGTTGCTCTGAGCTTCACGATGGCAGGAAATCTTTGGAGCTGAATTAGCATGCAAGTGCCCTAAAACAAGGGGATGCTGTTCCAGCGATCCAGTTGGGCTGAACCAAAAGCTTGTGTTTCGTGCACATTAGAAGCTCATTAAAGTTAACGACGGTTGCCCAGTCACGAAAGTTTAATAATGATTTTATGCAATCAGCCAGATTCAAAAGGGCATATTCAAATTCTGTCACAAGCCTGAATGAATTCATGTTGTAGACGAAGGCTGCCCTTCTTAATGTTTTCACGATGTCTTCATTTGCTTAGAAGATCCCGTGGTTCAGCCTTCAAGGATCGCCAAAGGCGGTTCGTGATTCCTCAGCTTTTCTGAGCTCCAGAGGGTTCTCTTCCTTCTCTCCTTTCCCCAGTAATCTGGGCTGGGAGGTTTACGTGAAATACAAAGAATGAAGGCCAGGCTGCCAATCAGCCTCGTAATTGAAACGAGCACCAGAATCCAAGACCAGGGAATTACTCATGCAAGAGTCACCCAGAGTTTCAGAAATGTCGTAAATCACAGGGAGGTAAAACTACTTTTGGGGTTGGCTCCAAAGACGGAGAACAAATTGCCGTGCACGGCAGAAGGTGGGTTGGAAGACAAAGAAAGGGACCAGCTAGTTGGGAAAAAACAAGAGGTTCTCGATGGCCGTCCTCGACCCATCTTAGATCGATCCTATTTTACTTGGATCCAGAAAGAGGGATCTTGCCATGAACACCCGTGGTTCTCCCTTCATTGCCAGAAGGACCCATCCGAGCCATTAATAAGCGATCTTGCAGTCTGTAATTGAGTGTTTTTCTTTTCTTTTTTCTTTTAAAAACCAAGCTTGTATTAACGTGGGTGGTTCTCCTAATTCTCATATATCAACTTTATGTTTATAATAAAGTTGGAGTGTTGAAAAACCCAGAGTCAGACTGGAGGCCACAGAGCAAAGAAGGGGGAAGAGGGAGGCCTGTCTGAGAGTAGGGAGGGAGCACGCCCATCCCTTTGGGGTCCGCTTTCCAGCCTCTGGATCCCCTCCATCCAGCCTGAAGGGGGGTTCTGGCCAAGGGAAGTATCGGTGGCCGAGCCCCTTACATGGCGGAGGAAAGGGGCATCATCTGCTGGCCCCGCTTCCGCATGGAGCTGCCTGCCTCTCTTCTTGCAGTTGCTCCTCAGGAAAGCCCCTTCCTCACACGCTGGCTGCCCCACCAGCAATGCTTCGGTGGCCTACCTGGAGGGCTTAACCCGCAGGGAATGAGCAGCATTCAAGGAGTGCTCTACGTTGACCCTTCTGTCAACTCAGGATGATGAGACACAGGGAAGGAAGCCAATAGGCACAGTTCTGAAGACATGTTGGCGTGGGCTCCAAGGAAGAAGGGGGAAAGCGAGCCAAGCTGGTTATGTTGGAAATGCTGTTCGCCAAGCAGAGTCTCCTTTTGGGTCAAGAGACACGGGCCTCTCCCCCCAAGCCGCTTTCTTCCCTCTCTTTCCTGCGCTATCTTCCTTCACCAGCAGGACCCAACTTGCTCCATGGAGGAATTGATAGCCACGTTGGTCTGAGCCTCACCGGAGATGGCCATCTTATCAGGAGGAAGCGAACTCTGTTGAAATCCTTGACCATAAAGATGTTCTTGGCCTTGCTCCAAGAGGCTGGAGTATGAACCATGGTTTGCTTGACCCCCAGCTGTTCAAGCAAACAAACAAGCAGGTACATTCCTCAAGAGTGGATTGTGAAATCAGCATCCTTGGGGAGACACCTTGGTCTGGCTGGTGAAAGCGAGCAGAGGGAGGCCAACCAAGATGAGGACTTGGAAGGAAGGTCCTCCAAGCGTGAGAGGAAGGATAAGGAAGGTAGAGAAGAAGGAAAACCCAGCTAGAAGATCAGATGTTGGTTGGTGAAACGGAGGTCCTGCATTTCACTCGTTGGGTTTCCCTCCCATGGCTCGTTTCCTCCCATGGGGAGGACCAGAAGGTGGGGAGACCTCCTGTCTCATTCCCAGCTCCTGGGGTTAAAAATGCAGCAAAACAAATGCAGGCCTGGATGCTCGAGGGGCACGTCTATGCCCTGGCCCACCATCTGCCCGCCAAAGCCTCCCGAAGCAGAGAAGGCGAAGATCTTCCGTTGCTCAAACCGTCTATGTTAACTGGCTCTCCGCCAGCCTCCCTTTGCCTGTAGAAGTCCCGAGTCTCCTCCTGAAGCGCCTTCATCTGCCAGGAGCTCCCAAAGACCCCCTCCGTGGTTGCCCCTGCAGCCCCTTGCCTCCCCTGCGGGGCAGTTCCCGTGGAAACTGGGGGGTGGGGAGGCGCTTGGTGGTAAAAAAGGAGGAGGTGGTGGGGCAGAAATGGCACTCTGTACCTGCACAAAGTCCACAGCCGGCTGCTTGCGACACCCCCCCCACCCCGGCTTGGCTGGCCTCTCCCTGAGGACTTACCTCAATGTCAGGAATGTTTTCAAACAGCTGATGGGCGATGTCTTTGCAGCCCTGCTGGCGCGCTTCGGTGGGCATCTCGTTATCCGAGTACCAGTCCCGGTCCGCCGAGTGTGCGTAAGCGGCGCTCGGCGTGGCGTGGTTCACGCGGGTGGTGGTGACAATGCCCACGGATTTGCCTGCAGTGGGAGGAAAAGGCGCGTTAATCGTGGCCACGGAGGGTTTCAAGTCTCACGGGGCACAGAGGGCTGACCTGGCTGCCTGCAGCCAGCTGGGAGGAAGCCTGGCACGGGCAGGGCTCCGGGTGCTGCGCCACAACCCGCTTTCTCGGCTTCTCAGCTAAACCAGCTCCTTCTGGAATGGGGTCAGGCTGGAAGGCCGCAAACCGCATGGTGCTTTATCAACTTGGTTAAACCTTGTTTGATTTGCTAGCTAAACTTTGTTCTGGCGCTGGTCTCTTCCTCTGCGCTCAGTGTCCATGGAAAACAGTCGGGCTCTGTCCTCTTCTTTCCGGCCCCTGCTCGTTCCCCTTCTGTCTGTTTAAGCTCGAAGGGAGGCTGATTTTGACACTGCTGAAAATGACAGCTCAAAGTGAGCAGTCGTGCCCAAGACGGGCACCTGGAAACGCCAGGCTTTAACCTTTGAATGCCAGCTAGTTAATAAGTCCCTATTGGGCACCTAACTGCCGATTTAATGTTTATCTCACACCTGAAATTTGGACTGGGGCTTTTTAGGGTCCACCGAATACTGTTTAGATAGGTAAAAAAGTCACGACAGGAGTATTTCTGACTGGACCAGTGAAGAAAGCGAGCGCCTTTCCTGTGTGCCTTGAGGAGCCTTGAGGAGGAAGATGTTTCCACGATTCCAGCCAGCCCCAGCCCGTCTGCGCGGCGGCCACTTTCTTAGCCCTCGTGCAGTTTGCGGGTCCGTGGCTTAGTGTCCCGTGGGCCCATCCACTGTGGTTTACAGACCATGGCTTTCGTGCCTTAGTGCACTGCGTTAATGCAGCCAATGGTGGCTTACTCAGCAACCCATGGTTATAAACCACATCATTTAGCAATGCGTGAGCCTTGCCGTTGTCATCCTAACATTACAGAGGTATATATAAACTTTCTCCTGTGGGTGTGATGGCTCTGCAAATCTTAAGGCTTAGGAAAAGGGCCTTCTTTCTGATTTCATTTTATCCAGCCCTCAGAATTTCTCTGGGGTAGCCGTGCAAACAGGCAAGAGAGGCCTATAGCGCTGGCAAAATAAAATCATTCCTGTGAAAATCTAACCACTACGAATACATCTGGCACCAAGATGTCTTTTCTTCCCTGTTCAGCTGAATTGCACCTACTGCCAAGCAGGAAATTCCACCTGTATGGATTTCATGGACTTCCCAGCGTATCCGATGCTCCCCGATCTCGCCCCTCTGTTATTTCTCCCCTGCAGCTTGCTTGGTTATTTCCCTCCAGCCTTTATTGGAAGCCATTAACCAACAGCCTTTCCAAGCCCTGGACTGGGTCCTGCTGCCAACATCTGTATCCACCTGGCCAGAAAAGGGGAGGGTTGCTGCTTTTGTGCTCACAGCTGCCATTTCCAGCCTGACACCTGCTTCGCTTCCTCTGCGAGGCTGGGTCCCTCGACTTCAGAGTCAGATGGTGGTTAACCACAGGAACAGCTTGAGAACAAGCAGCCGGTGCCCTGCAGGGCACGGAAGGTGGGCGTGGAAGAGAACCCTGTGGGGATGGGACTGGAGTGTGCTGCACGCACCTGGTCCCCACGCGTGTGTGGGGATTTCCCCCCGCCTTCCCCAGCGAGGCTGCGGGTTGAGCCCCCAGCCTGTTCTGTCCAGGGGCTGCTGTCACCAAGCAGCTCCTCCTGGCGAGCCAGCGACGCAAGAGAGCAAGGGTGCCAGGTCACGCTCTGCGCATTGCATCCTTCCGGTCCCAAGTCCAGCGCCATCCCCACCGCTTTGGATGAGGCTGTCACTGTGGCTAACGTGGTCTGTCCTCCCTCTGAGCTCCTGGACCAGTTCTAGGAACGGTTGCTGACCTGACAAAGGCTTTAGCAAGAAACCCTGCAAGCCGGGGGCTGCAGTCTTTCCCACGCAGAACCACAAGATCACGAGGACAGCTGAGTGCTCTTCTGCAGAATGAGTGCTCTGCAGGCTTCCTTCGTCAACCCGGTGCCCTCCCACCTGCTGGACTTTGGTTTGCATAAGCTCAGCCCTTTGGCTGCAGTAATGCGGCCGACAGAGTGGATGTTGTGCTGAAATGGTGGGTGCCGGCTTGGGTGCCAGCCACCCTGGGATGTGTGGAGACAGGCCATTGCTTCTCAGCACCCCCTTGACCAAACGGGAGCCTGCAAGCGTCGGCCTTGTGGCATCACGGGCACTCTCCCCCCGTCCTCCTTCCCAAACCATCTGTCCCAGGCAAAAGCTTTGTTGAAAACTACGCCTATGGGCTGCTTCCCCAGTGCCGGAATATAAACCCTAAATAAAGGTGTCCTGCCAGGAACATAAGCACGCCACAGGCTGATTTCCCAACCTGTTTTCTGGTGGGGCCACTTCATCTTTAGGCAAGGCAGGCCCAGATATTTCAAAAGCCATCTTTTCAGCTGTCGACAAACAGGGATCAACCTGAGCACGCCCGTCCCGTGAGCTCTGAAGCTTTTGCAAGCCCTCCCAGGTCGCTGAAGTTCCGCCGGTCCTGAGAACTGCATTCTCCCAGCCAACAGACAGATGCTCGTAAGGGGGGACCCACCCCAAATCCAGCCAGGTTGGCTCACCTGCTGCTTTGGCCCATTTGAGTATGGAGCTCACTTCGTTGCCGGCCGTTGTGTTGCACTGGGACCGCGTCACCGCTGCGCTGACCCCCACGGTGCCCTCGTTAGCCTTCACGCCGCATAGGTAAGCCGTGGCAGTGCCCGCACTGTCGGGCACCTGGGCGTTGGTGTTGTAGGTCTGCCAGAAAAAATCACAAAGAGGTGGGTGACTCACCAGGAGAGCTCCTGCAGCCGCCGAAAAGACCTTCCGGATTGGGCGTAAGAGCGGCCAGGCCAGGCCAGGCCCTTACTTCCCACCACGGACGCAGCGACGGCTCTCCTGGCTCGCCAACAAAGACGCAGCAGACCGAGGACTCTTCGCCGCCCCTCCCTTCCTTGCGCAAACAGCTGTCAACAATTCTAATTTCTCCAACCAGGTCCAGTGCTTTTCAAAGCCCGTTTAAGCTGGCTGCCATCATCACCTCTTGTGTGGCTCGCAAACATCTTAGCTGTTAATACGGATGAAACTATTTCTGAACTCTGCCTAGAACCTCCTGTTCCAGAATTATAACAAGAAGAAAATATCAGTCCTGTAAATCCTGTTTGCAGGACTTTAGCTTTCTGTTGACAAGGCGTAAAGTTGGCAAAGCGGCCCAGCTGTTGCAAAACGCTCTCCTTTGAGCAAGCGAGCGTTGCTTGTCCATTGTAATAACCACAGGTTTTAGAAGTGTGCAGCGAAGGAAAGAGATGATCAGAACAAAGGCCAGAATAGGAGGTTGGACGTCAAACCGTGATCCGAGGGAAGGAGGATCGTTCTGCCTCTGCGCTCCCTGGCTCCCTGCTGGGAGGGTTTGCTGCTTCCGTAATCCCACCCCAAAAGGGGTTTTGACCCACTGAGGGAAGTCTTGTGGAGGAGCGTCGGCTTTCCCCAGCCGCCCGCCAGACATGCCTGCAACCCCAGGCCTGGTCAGCCCCTCTCTTGCCGTGATGAAGGCGGGGGTTTCTCCCTCCCTGGTGTTTCATCACTTAGCACGGTGGCCGTCAAGGGACCGTTTTACGAGGGGAAAGAGCTGGGAGAGGGATGGAAGAGAGTCCAGCAGAACCAGGATCTGACCTTTGGTGCTTAATCCACCCCGTGGTGCCAACCCACTTAAAAACGTCCTAACCAATTTAAAAATACCCAACTGGACAGTGGCAAGAATTCGGACACAAATCACGGTCCAATGCTGGGGTGGCCGAGAACCGCACGGGGCAGATTTCCCCTTCCCTGCTCAGCTCCAGCTCCCGCCTCGAGTCTCCCGACCCCAGTATTTTCCCCCTCTCTCCTCCCGGGTCAAGCACGAACGCTGGGCTTCCCCGCGTCCTTGCTGCGCTCCCCCAGGAGAGCTCGAGAGGCGCCTGCGTTCTTGACTGCTCCCCAAGCAACCTCCTCGCACTGTTTGGAGGACTCTCAGAGCCGTCCTGGGCGCACGCCCAGAAGTCACCCGGTCTGGTTTCAGCCGGGTTTGTTTTCTAAGGCACTTAGCACCGGGGAGCCGATAAATTAACTGGAGGACTTCAACCATTAATTGCTCAACGGACTGTCTGTGTTTTTGGGCGGAAAACCAGAGCTGGTGCGTTTGTCTCCCCTCGCGTTTCCCTTGCAGGCCCCTCGGGCTGCATCTGGGCCCTGCCCAGCAGAATCCGTTGGAGAGATGTCTGCCCCCCTTCTTGCCCCCCGTAGCCAATTCCCTAACATTCATGAACGTGCCTGTGGTCCCCCCCCCATCTCCCACACATTATGCTAAGATCAGAAGGGGATTTTTATACCCTACGGAAAAGCAGGGGTGCAAGAATGGCTTTTCTGCAAGGAGGGGCCAGTTAATTCTCAGTCACCCTGAGTAGGTGATGGCAGAACAGAAGGGGTGTTCTCTTGGGGGTGCCTGCCCTCCATTATGGGCTTTCCTGAAAGAGAGTTGGCAGATTCCAGGAACTGATCTTGGTGCCCTTTCTGGCTGGGAGGAATTGGCATCCTCCCTCTTTGTCTCCTGTGACTGTACAAGGAACTGCCCTGGGAGCAGGTTTGCCCGTGCGTGGGCCCCGCCTCTGGGCTGCGAAAATTTCCGTGGCGTTGCCATTGTGTCCCAGCGCGACTGCCTTTCTTCTGGTTCCTATCCGCATTCCAGCACTATTGGGCTAAGCTGGTCCCTGACAGCAAGGTGTGTTTGTCTAAGTGGTTTTTTCCCACTTAAGGAAGGTTAGTTTCCCCAGGACGTTTGCAAACCTTGGGGTTCCCCCACCCCTGCCCCTCTCTCTCTCTGGGGCGGTGGCACCGCCGTAGTGGCCCTGGGACGTTGTGCAAGAGAACGCCTGTCCACGTCCGTCTCCTGGGACAGGCGGTGCAGGCCTTTGGGGATGCTCCCTGGGAGCGGGCGAGGCCACGAGCTTTGCGCTTTTCCTCCTCCAGCCCCACTTCCTCCTTCCCCCAGCGGCCACCAGCCCGAAGAGGGGGCCTTACCTTAGAGAGCGCCACAAAAGGAAAGCGGTCCATTTCCAAGATGGTCTCCTCCCCGGTCTTCTGCTGGAGCTGGCCCTTGAGAATGCGAGTGGCCGTCACAGTGGAGACGCCCATGCCTGGCGCAGGAGAGCCACGGTGAGCAGCCGCCCCCAGCCGCAGCCCGGCAGGGCGGACGGGCAGAGGAGGCTGGTTGATGACCACCAGGAAGGTTTTTCAAGGCGGAGGAGGCCCCTGCCCGCCGGAGCTCTTGCCCATCGCCTGGAGGCAGCCAGGTTGCCCCAGATGCGCCACGGTTTCCCCCTCCAGCCGTGCCTCTGGGAGCCGGAAGGCCTGCTGAGACACTCGAGAACTTGGTTCCCAAATGCCCTCCACGGCCAGGCGGCTCAGAGGGTGGCATTCGCCTGGCTGGCTCCCCCGCCCCAAGACATCCAGCTGCTGCCGTGGAGCGCCCCTTTGTTACCCTCCTTGCCCAGCTCCCCAGTGAGTTGGAAAAAGGGGCAGTGGGGGAGTCTGAAAGGAGCCCGCTGGATTGCAAAGGGGCGATCCCTCTCCTGGGGCCCAGGCCTGACCAAGAAGAGCTGGGGCCCGTGGCTGGACTTCATCTTGCAGAAGTTTGTGGCACCCACCGTCTCCGAGGAAGAGGATCACATTCTTGGCCACATTGGTGTTCAGCTCTTGCAGGCGCAGTGCTTTCCGGAGAGTCTCCTGGGCCTGGTGCCGCCAGAACTGGGGGTCCTTCTCCTTTTCTGCAACGGGGATGGCAGAAGAGGAGGAAGCTGCTTCAACTGGATCTGCACCGTGCGTGGCCCCCCCCACGCTCGATGGATGTGGCTTCCTCTTGGCCCCCTTCCCTTGGCACGCCCGCCAGCATCCTTACCTGGCACCAGGGAGGAGAGGCAGGCCGGAACCAGGAAGGCGAGCAGCAGGGTGTTCATAGCGAGGTCTCGGGGGAGCAGCTCCCCCAGCACAGGCAGCGCGTCTGCGTGGAAGAGGGCCACGCCGGAGAGCGCTCTGGAGCCTGAAAGGGGCAAAGACACGGGGGACGTTCCCGTCAGCCACGGAGCTGGCCGTGGGACCACAATGGAGGTGCGTGGCCAGCCGGCGAGCCCGGAGCGTCCTCAGTGGACCACGATCTACCTGGGAGCACTGGAGGAGAAGAAAAGAACATCCGCCTGGCTCTGGGGGCACCCCCCTCCTGCTTCTCCCTCTCTCCCGTGGCCCCCCAGTTGTAGCTCCAGGATTCCTTGGTGGGTGGAAAAGACTGCAGCAGCCCCCTTCTCCTTCCTCTGGGCTCCCCTGTGGTTTGCAGCCTGGCTTCCTGTTGCCTCATGGGCAACACTTCCCTGAACGGGAGGGCCTGATGCTGCAACGGCCTCCTCCCCGGGAGTAATCTTGCTTTCGCCCCCCCCGTCCCAGGAAGATGGCTGCCCCCCCCCCCCCGCCCTCCTCCGAGCTCGGGCTGAAGGCAGAGAATGGGAGCTCTTTGTGGGGAGAGTGAAACGTCTCCAACTGGGTGTCTCCTGCATAGGTTGGACTACAAAGCTCATGGTACCCCGCCAGAGCGCCACAGAGCAACACCAGTCAATGCCAGCTCACCCGGCTGGTATCAGGAGAGGAAGGGGCCCCGGCTGGACAAGGAGGCTGGGCAAGGAGCCAAGGAGAGGCCTGGCCGGTCCTGGAGGAAATGGGGCTTTTCATGACTCGGGACCTTGGAGTGGGAGCGTCCTGGAGGCCATGAAGACCCGCCTCTTGCTCTTTGCAGGGCCCAGAGGAAGGGGGGCTTGAAGGAGAAGAGACCCCGGGGGATGCAGCTGAACGTGCACCCCCTGCCTAGCAGTCGCTTGCGCATAGCAGCTTGCAATTCCCGCCTCCCCCACCCCCGAGATCCTTTTCATGCATCTGCTTGGCCACATGGGTCTTTCCCGCCTGGTGCCCGAGGGAGAAGCCGCCCCCCCCGCCTGCCTCATCACCTTCCTGGAAAATCCTCTCCTGGGCTGGCTCTCCTGCCACCTGCGTGGGGGGCAAAGCGGCTCTCCGCATAAGCCTCTCTTTGCTGCTACTAATTCTCCAGGATTACTCCCCCGAGTGCCGCTGAGTCCATCAAATGCGCTTAAGCAAAGCCCAGAGCCTTTGGCAGGCAGGCCTGAAGCCAAGTCCCCCCGCCCCCACCCCTGCAAAGAAAGAGCCGGATGGAGGCATTTCCCAGGGCAGCTTGGCACCTGGGCTCCCCACTGCCAGCTCCCAGAGCAGCTGCTGCTGCCGCTGCCGCCTCTGCACGGGGGCCACCCGACCCTGGAAGCTTTGGAAAGTGAAAACGGTGGGGAGGAGGCAGCGAAGCCAGCCGCAAGAAGCGGATCCCGGAGGCTTCCTCTGCCGGACGTCGCCCGCGCTTTTGCGAACAGGCTTTGCAGCCCTCCTGCGTGGTTCCTCGGAGCCAAGAGGACCTGGCTGCCCTGTGCTGGGCTCCCGGGAGCCCCGTGGGTGCAGAGGATCTCCCAGCCGCCTTGGGGGGCGGGTCCAGCTGAGGGCTCTCCTGGGATGGGAAAGAGCCTCTCAGGAGGCCTTAAGGATCTCTAGA